AAAAGGCCAGTGCATAAAAACCTTCCTCCTCCTCCCGCCGCAGAAGCCGCAGCAGCCGCAGTAGTATTAGCAGCTTTAAACCACAGGGAATGGCAGGATGTGAGTTAAAAGCAGTAATATTCTCTCTACTTATGGACGGCGGTGACATTTGTGCCGCGACGGTCTTGGAACAGAGAAAACACGAGAGCGTTCGGAGCTCTGCAGAGTGGGCACGGCTAAAAACCTCTAAAGGGCATTTGCTGCTGATGCTCCAGGTGCAGGAGGCGAGAGAAGCACCGGGATGCAAACAGACCAGGCTATATTTATACATTTATCTCATCGACTAGGGCTATACACAGAAGCAGCGGGACTATCGTCAGCTACTGCTCACATCTCCACATGGTCCGACTGTTTCAAGAAGATCCATTGTCTGTACTTGGCATTTTAATGTTTTTATTTACATTTATTTTGTTTCATATATTATTTGTATGCACATATAAAGCTGGCCATTCTAACTTAGCCTGACCTTAGCCATCTGTAAACTCCAGCCAATTTCCCCAACATGTACGAAATGAAATGTTTACGATGGTGTGGTAAGACCAGGCTAATTCTAACTAATAGGACAAAATACTGGAATTCTTTATAAGTGGTAAAAGTTGGTTGCATATGTTTTATGTTAGCCCTGTAACCTTGGTATTTGGAAATAAAATACATTTCCAAATAAATGTATTTTATTTCCAAAAATAAATTCCAAAAAAAGAGGAAGAGATTCACTATGTACAAACTTTTAGCAGCTCAGGAAAAAAAAAAATTGATATCGGCAAATATTGGTCATCGGCCATAATAGAAAAACTCATGTTGGATTGTATCGGCCAAAATGTTCATATCAGTGCATCCCTACTCCATATCTCTCTTTTTCCATCTCTATCTTGCCATGTATCTTTTTATTTTACTTAAAGGAGCTATACCTGTTTCTGCAAGGTTTGAATGTTTAGCTCCGCCCCCAACTCGCTCACAGGCTTCTCATTTCCTCTACGCTCTCATCCCACGGAGCCATCTAGTTTTATTTGCGATCTATATGCTAACATTAGCATTAGCGCAACTTAAGCTGTACAACAATCACTGATGAAAAGGTACAAAAGCAACGCACTGCTAACACAATATATGTACCGTGCCTTGCAAAAGTATTTGGCCCCCTTGAACCTTTCAACATTTCGCCACATTTCAGGCTTCAAACATAAAGATATAAAATTTTAATTTTTTGTCATGAATCAACAACAAGTGGGACACAATCGTGAAGCGGAACGAAATGTATTGGATAATTTCAACTTTTTTAACAAATAATAAACTGAAAAGTGGGGTGTGCAATATTATTCGGCCCCTTTACTTTCAGTGCAGCAAACTCACTCCAGAAGTTCAGTGAGGATCTTTGAATGATCCAATGTTGTCCTAAATGACTGATGATGAAAAATAGAATGCTCCTGTGTGTGATCAAGTCTCCGTATAAATGCACCTGCTCTTTGATAGTCTCAGGGTTCTGTTTAAAGCGCAGAGAGAACCATGAAGACAAAGGAACACACCAGGCAGGTCCGAGATACTGTTGTGGAGAAGTTTAAAGCCGGATTTGGATACAAAAAGATTTCCCAAGCTTTAAACATCTCAAGGAGCACTGTGCAAGCAATTATATTGAAATGGAAGGAGCATCAGACCACTGCAAATCTACCAAGACCCGGCCGTCCCTCCAAACTTTCATCTCAAACAAGGAGAAGACTGATCAGAGATGCAGCCAAGAGGCCCATGATCACTGTGGATGAACTGCAGATAACTACAGCTGAGGTGGGAGAGTCTGTCCATAGGACAACAATCAGTCGTGCACTGCACAAATCTGGCCTTTATGGAAGAGTGGCAAGAAGAAAGTCATTTCTCAAAGATATCCATAAAAAGTCTCGTTTAAAGTTTACCACAAGCCACCTGGGAGACACACCAAACATGTGGAAGAAGGTCCTCTGGTCAGATGAAACCAAAATCAAACTTTTTGGCCACAATGCAAAATGATATGTTTGGCGTAAAAGCAACACAGCTCATCACCCTGAACACACCATCCCCACTGTCAAACATGGTGGTGGCAGCATCATGCTTTGGGCCCGCTTTTCTTCAGCAGGGACAGGGAAGATGGCTAAAATTGATGGGAAGATGGATGGAGCCAAATACAGGACCATTTTGGAAGAAAACCTGTTGGAGTCTGCAAAAGACCTGAGACTGGGACGGAGATTTATCTTCCAACAGGACAATGATCCAAAACATAAAGCCAAATCTACAATGGAATGGTTCACAAATAGACGTATCCAGGTGTTAGAATGGCCAAGTCAAAGTCCAGACCTGAATCCAATCGAGAATCTGTGGAAAGACCTGAAGACTGCTGTTCACAAACGTTCTCCATCCAACCTCACTGAGCTCGAGCTGTTTTGCAAGGAAGAATGGGAAAGAATTTCAGTCTCTCGATGTGCAAAACTGATAGAGACATACCCCAAGCGACTTGCAGCTTGTAGATCCAGGAGACTGAGGCTGTAGATCCAGGAGGCTGAGGTTGTTGATCCAGGACACAGCCTCAGTCTGTGTGCAGGTGGAGGAAGGCTGGGCCCAGGTTTCCCGCCCCTGTTGTCCCTATTGTCCCAACAGACTATGGAACAACATGCAGGGAGTAAACCCATGCATCTGGCTCTCCTTGGCAATGAGCAAAACACATGCTGCAGCACCCTCTAGTGTCCCTGTGTAGACTTTTCAAAGTCACTCGTTATTTCTGCACTTTTATAACAATTTCCCAAGTGCTGCTCTCTCTCTCACTCTTTTCCTCTTGCTCAAACACCATATACACTACTGTACACCCACTGTATTGCCAACCCATTCAAAGCTTTGAAAAAACAATACAATCTGTAAATCTAAATATTCTAAAGTCATCGAACACACGACCTTCAGGCCTAAAGACCCATGTTCTACCAACTAAGCTACTGTCGCCCCTAAATAAAAGTGACCGTGGAGTGCACAATGAGGCAGGCTGTAGGACCAAATAGAAAAACCTCAGTCTGTCCCTGATTTAGTTTTAAAAGGGTTTGGGCCAATGTTAGAATATTAAAGATCTTAAGATGAAGTTGCTTTTCACAAAACTATTCATTGACTCTTTTGGTTTGAACATCAAAATGTTTTAAATTTAAAAAAAAATTGAACAAAGTTGGATATTCTATTATTTATTCATATCATAATTAATAGTTAATAGCAGCAGGTAATACTTGATGACTGTAGCTATTTTGGAGTTGTGAAATGCTGCCACATACAGTGGGTTCCAGATGGCCATGCAACTGAGATTTCTGTGATGCGTTTGCGTGAAGAGGATTAGGACCATGCATTAGATTAAGGTTACTTTTAATTCCACCCAGAAGAACATAGCCTTTCCTACATCCATGGTTAGTGATTTAAGATAAGATAAGATTGCTTTATTTATCTCACAGAGGAGAAATTTACATGTCACATTTGGCATGGATAGAGACACTCAGATTGTGCAAAGGGAGGAAATGTGCAAACATGTTACATGCAGGATATATGTACAATAAAGTGACAATAATTATGTACAACAAAAGTGACAAGTGTCAATTGGAAACAGTGTCAATAGTAGTGCAGGTTTTCACACAGTGATCATTTAAAGTGACTTATTGTACAGTCTGACAGCGGTGGGGATAAAGGCCCTGCGGTAGCGCTCCTTCTTGCACTGAGGGTGCCTCAGTCTTCCACTGAAGGAGCTCCTCAGCTCCTCTACAGTCCTGTGCAGTGGGTGGGAGGTATTGTTCATGATGGAGGTGGCTTTGGCTAGCACCCTCCTGTCCCTCACCTCCTCCACAGAGTCCAGGGAGCAGCCCAGAGTGGAGCTGGCCCTCCTGACCAGCTTGTTCAGTCTGTTTCTGTCCCGCTCTGTGCTGCCCGGGGCCCAGCACACGGCAGCGTAGTAAATGGCAGAAGCTACCACAGAGTCATAAAAAGTCCTGAGCAGAGGCCTGCTCACTCCGAAGGACCTCAGCCTCCTCAGAAGGAAGAGGCGACTTTGGCCCTTCTTGTGCAGGGCGTTTGTATTATGGGACCAGTCCAGTTTATTGTTAATGTGAACACCCAGGTACTTGAAGCTGTCCACCAGCTCAATGTCCTCCCCCTGGATGTTCAGCAGCGTGTGGGAAAGTGGTTTTCTCCTGAAGTCGATGACCATCTCCTTGGTCTTACTGGTGTTCAAGCACAAGTGGTTGCGCTCACACCAGTCGACAAAGTCCTTGATAACCGACCCATATTCCAGTTCGTTCCCCTCAGACACACAGCCCACGATGGCGGAGTCGTCGGAGAACTTCTGCAGGTGACAGCTGTGTGTGTCGTGTGTGAAGTCTGAGGTGTAGATGGTGAAGAGAAGCCGCTCCATGGTCTTCATCAGGTGGGAGGTCAGTGCGACTGGTCTGTAGTGAGCCGGTTCCTTGGCGTGTGCTGTTTTTGGAACCGGGATCACACAAGAGGTCTTCCACAGGACAGGGACCTTCTCCAGGCTGAGGCTCAGGTTGTACATGTAGCTGAGGACCCCAGAGAGCTGGTCTGCACAGGTCCTCAGCAGCCTGGGACTGATCCCGTCCGGTCCTGCGGATTTCCTCAGCTTCAGGCGCTGGAGCTGACTCCTCACCTGGTCCGGTGTGATGGAGAGGGGGGGGGACTGGGATGTACTGTCCGAGGTGGGGGCTGGGGATGCGGGGGCAGGAGGGCCCGGGGCAGCCGGAGGCAGTGTCCACTGGGCGGTGTCCACTGGGCTGGGGACGTGTGAAGAGGTGGGGGCGGGAGGGGGGGCAGATGGAGAGGGGGGAGAATCAAACCGGTTGAAGTGCTGGTTAAATTCGTCCGCCCGGTGCTGGTCTCCATCTGCTGTTCCTCTGGCACTCTGTCCAAAGCCGGAGATGTTCTTTCTTTAGTAATGTGTTTTAATCAAATGTCTGTTGCAGGATGACTTGTCAGTGCCTTTACTACAAGAAAACATGGACGGTTCTTCAGGAGTCCTGTTTCCGTTTTATGACCCAGACACACACATGCTTTACCTGGTTGGGAAGGTGGGTCACTAATATGTATCCAGAAATAATGCAAATTGTAAAGATTATTTTAGCTTTTTTTAACCTAAATTTGCAACTTACAAATAAAAGTACAAAAATAAAATAGATGCCTATTATACTTGGGAAAAAATAAACTTTGAACAAATATTCCCCCAGGGTGATTGCAATATCCGGTACTACGAGATCAGCTCAGAGAAGCCCTATCTTCATTATCTCACAGAGTATCGCTCTCATCTGCCTCAGAAAGGAATGGGTAAGAAAGAACTACACTTTCAAAATCTAGACCCTTGTCAGAATATCCGAATTGTCTTTGTGTTTGTGTGTTTTCTTGACTTCCTCTACTGCACTGCAAATCAACAACCATAATTTCTACTTAAAACATCTTAAAAAGCATTGAACTGAAGTATTTTTTGTAAGTAATCTTTACTTGATAAATGGGGGGTACAGGAGGCACATGCTCGAGTTATTGTAGATGTGGTCGGGAGAAAACCGCAACACCCAGAAAAAACCTATTCAGAAACACGGGGAGAACATGCAAACTCCATACAGAAAGGCCCTGTTTGGAGGTGGAGTCAAAGCCAGGATTTTCTTGCTGAGAAGCACAAGCGCTAACTGCTGGATGTCAGTTAGTACTTTTCAAATTGTGAAGTAGTGGAACTTTTTCGGAGACGAGCACTGGCTAGACCCACCTAAAATAGAAACCTCTGAAGACCATTCACATGACGGCAAATATTTGACAACGGCTCTCCAGTTGTTGTCTTTCGGAAACCCACAAATACTTTTTGGCAGAATTCAACACTTGCAGCTAATCTGACTTAACACTGTGCAGAGACATAGCGCCTTGGCAAGAGCTCTGGTGTGTACTATTCTGGTGCATACTGGGATACTCTTGCAGTTATTCTAATGTGGTTTTACTGCAAATGGCAAAGTAACTTAAATCACATGACAGTATATTGCAAAAGGCTGCGCTCCCCCAGCCCTCTAGAGCAGGGCAGGGCTAGTCAAACCGGTCCTCAAAGAGCCAGTGCGGCTGCAGGATTTCATTCTAACCAAGCAGAGGCACAGCGGACTCCAGTGAGTCCAGTCTGAACCTGGAGACCTGAGGAAATGGCTGGCTCCTGCTGGGTTGGAATGGAATCTTGTTACTACATTGGCCCTTTCTGGAACCAGTTTGAGACCCCTGCTTTTGAGAATATTTCCATGAACAATGCAATGCTGTACTACTTGCTCACGCTTGTTTCTATGACTTTATATTTTTAGGTGTGATGCCAAAGAGAGGGCTGGATGTGAGCTCCTGTGAAGTCTTCAGGTTCTACAAACTCGTGACCACCAAAAACCTCATCGAGCCTTTGTCCATGATCGTACCTCGCAGGGTGAGAAGTCCTGCACCCACCACCATCATCATTTTTGTTTGCATTCTTTTGTCCTCTTTTCGGAGTTGGACATAGAATGGATATCACAATCTTTTGTCAATTTACACGTCTGATAAAAAAATAATTGTTTCCAGTCGGAAGCCTACCAGGAAGATATTTATCCAATGACTGCCAGTAACAGACCTGCTTTGACTGCGGAGGAGTGGCTCAGCGGAATAGTTAAAGGTAATAAAAGTTATGCGGTGCCGCTTGTCTTTTCTATTCCCTTTATGATTCCCTGTATGATACAACAAAGTATCTAAAAAGTTATAGATCCAAATGTACAAAACATTTGGATCTATAACTTTCTAGATACTTTGTAGTAATCACTCAAACAACTATGATTATAAAGTTGAACACTGTCGCCTCTTTTCTTTGGCGCATAATTTTGCAATTATTGATTTAACATTTATTTTCTCCCAGAAAATCAGACTATTTTTTTCTCTGTTGATTAGAAAACAACTGGTATTTGCGGCTGTTACAAACTATAGGCTGTAGAAAGGAGAGGACAGACTAACAACATGGTGTTTACCTCATCACAGAAGAAGCCGATTAGAACAGACTCCATCAATGGGAATCTGAAGCTAGATTTGGGATTGGCAACATAACCTTGCAACCAAAGAGCCAAACATTAGCAAGAAACTGAATTCAGGGACATGTATGGATTTGCAAATATATTATCAAAATGCTCTGTCCATTTAGGGCTGTAACAAGTTTGGACCCGTTTTTTGGATCTTCCATTTTTGCTTTGACTGTAAAACACACTTTCATTTCATTCTGAAAAGTATTTTAATGAAACAACCCAACGTGTAACTAGTCATCTCTATAAATATTTTCTCCAGAGGCATCACGGTCAAACGCTTATATCCCATCTTCACTGACCTTTTCAGGATCTAAACTAATCCAAAAAAAGAATCATCTCCCAACTAACCGATTATCATATATAATAGTTCATCACAGCTCTACTGAACATTTACAGTCTGGGTTGCAAACTGACAAACATTAAATTATTTCTTGGAATTTGGATTATGATGGTGTCTTGGAATCACAGAAATTCGATTGTGATACCATCTCTAACAACTGCGTTTACCACTGCTACTTTATTGAATTGCTGCTGGCATAGGAGCTCCAGCTGCCTTCAGGTCTGCATGTACATGAATTAAACATAGAGCAGCTCTCATGTCCGCTTTGTGGCTGTGACAGGTCCAGTGCTGATGTCCCTGAAGCCTGGGAGCCAAGTGGAGGAGCCCGTCACAGATCTGAGCAAAGCCTACGGGAACTCGCTGGGGTCCCCACGCACTCCCAGCCACCCGGGGATGCTGCAACTCTCCTACAATATTCAGGACCAGCTGAAGACCAAAGAACGCAACCAAGATAGCGCACTCTCAGCAGGGGACGGCGGCCATTTGTCAATCAGCAACGGGGAAGACTTGGCGTTTTGTTCCTCTCCAAAGACCGAGAATGAGGTAATTGGTGGTGCAGGGGGCTTGTGGGCAGTTTGGGAAATGAGCAAGACTCATTAGAAGTATTATTAAAATGGGTTCATAGTACATTTTTCACCCACTTCACAGTCTGTTAAGATTAAGATTAAGAGATCCTTTATTCAGCCCACAGTGGGGAAATTTCAGTGTTGCATCACCAGTTACAGAACAGTAGGGAAGAGAACCACACAGCACAAGCTACTGTATGTGAGCAAAAATAAAATGGAATTAAATTTCTAACTAAAGTATAATAAAAAAGCAAGTACAACATCCAGCTTTAGCGTAATAAGGAAGCAAGTCTAAAATCTCCAATTAAACTGATCATGACACTCGTTACACCAAAGTGAAATGTATATAGCCTTTATTTGTTGTAGTGTGACTGGACAAGGCTGTGAGCAAATTTCCATCCTTAAGCCCAAAATGGTGAGTATGACACAAACTTTGTCTGAGCTAGAGGAGTTTACTTTTCAATTGAAGTCATTGGGAGGATCTTTGAGTGACAGCATATAAGCTACCTGGATGCTAGAGTTATTAGATTTACTTTTGGAGAGAGGTTTTACTAAATCAAAGGGTTCGTTCTTATTGTGTGATCAAAGATCCTCCTGTAGGAGCCAGAGTGTGGTGGTGCAAAACTTAATCAGCACTTCCCTTCGTTGAATGAGCTAGTTCGTATTGTCCATCTACACTTAGAGTCCATATTGACTTTCATTCTGTCTGTCTTGCAGCTGCGGTTGAAGTTCCACAAACAGCAAGAAGAGATTCGGCGACTTGTGGAGCTTCTGAACCAGAGAGACGTGCGCATCAAACAACTGGAACTGGAAATCAAGAACACCAAAAACACGCAGCCTCCCAGTTCACTATAACTGCCCTCCATCACAGGACAAAGCCACAAACTCTGCTCCCAAATACATTCCCAACACACTTTCATCTCTCCGATCCTTCAGTTTGAACTCCTATTTTTTTTTTAAATAATGTTCTGCCTGTCACCTATGCAAGTTTAATTGTCTTTTTAAAAATGAATATATTTTACGCTCTTTTTGTAGCAAGAAAAACATGTCTGTGCCACATAAACAGAACAATGTTGCGCTTGTTTTAGAAAGGTATCGCATGGTTAAAGAAAAGGACTTTCCATCTGAATGTAATACTGTTTTATTATGCTTTGAATTTTATTTTTCTGTATTTAAACTACTGTCAATGGATGTGGGTCAACCCATGTTTGAGATGCACCACTGTTGTCATGGGTTTCCAAACGGCAAATTTGAATGTGTACATTTTAAAATAGTCTTATCTTGTTGTTTCTGATACTGTGCACACATTGTTTATATTGATGCTAAGCAGAAATGTACATCATTAAATTGTGTTATCATTTAATTTATTTTTACACTGACAAGCGTTATGATAAAAGTACTTGAAATCAAAGCAAAGCAAAGATTGTAAATGTGGTAAAAATATCGACTTGTCTGAAAAGTCTTCATGCCGTTAATTGTATGAAGATTAAAGCCATTACACACCAGGTTTCCATCTTTTACGAATTGTCAGTCCAGACTTCTTGGTTGCTTCTATTTAAAAAAAAAAAATTATAATTATAACGATACCATACACTTGTAATGTCATTGTCAAGTTTGTTTTGTCAGCCCAGTTACAATCAAAAAACACAAAGTTCATGATTGACTCCACAGACAAAAGCCAGGTTATTGATCTGCAGGCACTCTGGCTGGACATTTCCCTCCATCTGGTGAATGTTGGTCAAACAGCACGACAGCAGTAAAGCTGCAACTCTCCCAGTGTGGCTTAAAGAGGACTCTCATCCAAGTCCCTACCAGTCTCGCTCAGAGTCTGAGATCTGACTGATCAGTCTAAAACAAAAAAACCTCTAAATCCAGATCTGGTGCTTCTCAATTTTACTTAAACATTTAACCAGAAGATCTGCACCTCTAAATCAAAGGCCATGATGCTCTTCAGATAGCTACAGAGGTCATTCCTCAAGTGGAGGACTTGTCCAATCTTGTCCACGAGTGAGGGAAGGATAGACTGTGCAGTGATACGATCACTGAATCACACTGTTGTAAAGAGGGAGCAGCATCTCTAGGCAGAGTCATTTACTGGTCAATGTGTTCACACCCTCGCCTATGGTCATGAGTTTCAGGTGATATGTTTCTGCCGTAGAGTGGCTGGGGGCTCCCATGGAGATAAGGTGAAGCTCTCAAAGTTGAGGCGCTGTTTCTCTTTTAGGTTTCTGGTTTGGATTCATGGTGGACTCCTCCCTGGGGAGGTGTTGTAGAAACCCTAGGACACACTGGAGGGGCAATACTCAGCTGGACTGAGAACGCCTTGGGATTCCCCAAGTTGAGCTGTTGTGCGTGGATTAATACTCAGAATGTCTCCTTCCTCTGCAACCCGACAAACAAACAAAAACAACAAAGCTAAAGAAAAGGGAACTTAACCTGTATGACTGACTACCACTTTCAAGATGGTTATGAAGCAATGACTTTTAAAGCCCCATTGAACTGGCCGACCTGCCCCAGTTGTATTCTCACACTGCTCTTTACATGACTGGTACTGGAACATTCAAGAATTTATTTACCATTTGCAGTAAAACCATAGGAATTGGAAAACGTGTGAAAGACTACCCCAGTGTGCCAGCTTTGGTCTGACTAAAAACAGCTCAATGTTACCAGTAGTCGATAGCAAATGTAAAACCTGCTCTCATCACTGAGCATTTCAGCCTTGTGTGGTCTATGGTGATAGCTGGTCGTCCCCACGGTCCTGCCCTGTTCAATTACATCCTTGAATAATGGTACGGCACTGCCACAATGATCCATTATACATTCACTTCCCACAATTGCTACATTACAGCCCTAAAGCCCTAAAGATAACAGAAAAAAGACTGCTTGATCCACAGCAACAAAGAAGGTACTCATTTTTAGAGGGACTATAATTGTATAATGCAAAGATCAAAGTAAAAAGCACAAAATGTTAACATTTTATTTACAAAGTTTTTTTTTTCATACAGAAAGTAAAAATGTAGCTACAACCTCGATTTGTGCAACAGGTAGCCACGCTAAAAATGCTGGCTCACTGGTTGCACAGCTGCTATAGCAATAATTTCATTGAGGAAAAGGGGAAACGGGAACAGAAAAAAAGACATGAGAAATGATAAACTCAAAAACAACAACAAAAACAAATCATTCAAACAAAATATTAAAAGCACAGACCCGAAAACTTAATACCAGTCCCAAAGTCCTCACACGGGGAGTACATGAAGAGGATGGACAGTGAAACGTGGAATGCAGAATGTTGGCTGCCTGAGTCAGGGGCGGAGTCCGGTTTGAGAGGGGAGGAGGGAGTATAGGGGTGTGTGTGGGGGGCAGCTCCACTAGGCCCACCCGTCCGGTTACAGTTCTACCCCACGACAAGGTTACAATGTGGGTTACGAGGGTGGCGACAGGTTGAGAGGGCTGGGAGATGGGGCAGCGGGCATGTTCGGGGTCGGAACAGTAACTGTTTAAGCTTCTAATCGTCATCCTCATCGTCGTCATCCTCGTCTTCATCCTCTGGCTCTCGCTTCCTCTTTTCCCCTTTGGCCGATTCTGCAAAAGGAATTGATCAGGGCCTGATGTTAACCAAAATACAACACTTTTGATGTATTTATATTTCATTTTATAATTTAACCCTTTAATACCTATTCCTTGGAGAAAGCAATGTAATGTTTTTGTTTTGATTTTTTAAGATGTAGGGGCAGTGATAACACAAATGATTTGTTTTTAAAATTTTTAACCCGTAGTTTTTTTTAATAATAATAGGCCTAAACCAAATGGTTGAGATGCAGTTTGATGGTAAAAGTGCCTAAAACCATGTGATAGAGATCCCCCAATGAGGGGCATCTCTATCACAATGTTTCTTATCAGTGTGACTCTAAAACTGATGAACCATGAAAGCAATTAAAAGGGTTAATATGCATTTATATAACATTTGTAAAAGAAAAAAAGACCTGGAAAACAAAATAATTACTATATTTGTTTTTAATTGATATTGTATCCATCTGTAATGAAAATACATTACATCTACGGTACGCTAATTGAGACTACTATAAAAACAAATGTAGTAATTATTACTAGTATCAATGCATACATATTGTATTCGAGTACACACCCCACATGTTTAATTGGAAAGGCAAATGATAACTGTTCGTCAATAAGAACGAAAGCAAAACCAACTTTGAATGCTAGTTACATAATGACTTGACCTCATGTAATACTTTGCCTAGTTATGTTTGCCTTGTTCTGAAATGATGTTGGCCATGTTCAAATGCAGAGATGATCATGTCATATGTTCATTAAATGGGAAAACGCACCATCCTCGTCGTCGTCATCATCTTCATCGTCCTCTTCTCCCTCACCATCTTGGCCAAAATCTTCCTCCTAAAAAAATAATGAAAATAAATTGACAATTTTTCTAGAACAAATAAAAATCATCTACAAATACATGGCAAAATATGCACCATTTCCTTTCATAATTATAAAAACTGGTCTGAGAAAGGCACAGTATCAATAAAGATTACTTACTACTACTATCAAAAATCCGTAAAAGTCCATCCAACTAGCTCAGTTTGCTTTTATCACATCTTTTCAAATACAAGTATTTTGACGTGTGACATCTTTGCATCAACTTTTTCATCAGCCAATCAGCTCCTGCCCCAAGCAGGGCTCTTTCTTACAAGATTTCAAAAGATTAAATGCTTTCCAATAGGATCAAAGACTGTTACTTACAGAAGACTGTTAGGACAAACTATATAGGTAAGTTTAAAAAAAATAAAAATAAAAGGTCCCCCAGTTTTAATGCCTTGAATTTAGTGGCAGCAAATGTATTCCCTCTAAGGATTTCAAAGCCCAGGGTCACCTCATCTTCTCCACTGACATCATCCTCTTCTCCTTCAACCTCCTCTTCATCCTCCTCATCGTCATCCTCTTCATCAAAGTCCTCTCCGTCTTCATCTTCCTCCTCCTCGCCATCTTCAAACAAATTATGTCAAATAATGAAATGGAGGAGATTACGAGCAATTTTAAAATCAGTGAAACAGTGCAGAAGATGTTTGAAGCATATCCTGAATAAAGAAAAAAATAATTAAAAAATCCTTTATGGAAATGTGGACAAAGGAATAGGTGTATTGACCATAGATGGAATTGGTAACCCCCAGTGCAATGAAGCCAAATAGGAAAGTGCTCATAGACAAAGTTTTCCTCCAGCTCGCTCTGACTCCTATTGACTTACATCAAAATACAAATTCTTGCTCAGTAACGGGTTTGTGGCATACTCACCATTTTCAGATCTAAAAATCCGCTCTTTAATCCTGGGCTTTATAATGTCTTTGTAAATCAAGGTATGAGCCCTAACAACTGACAAATCAGGAGCCTTCCGTTGCCGATTTCTGATTAAGCTAGTGAGAAGCGCCGACAGAGCTCCAGAGTGGGGCTTTGCAACTCTTATGTGGGGCGACAGTGGCTCAGTTGGTACAGCATTGGTTATTGGGCCCGAAGGTTGTGGGTTCGATCCCCCCACGAGACCACTCTAACTGCTCACACTCATGTCTGCTGTTGTTGTGTCCCTTGGCAAGACACTTTTGCCTGAAACCCCCACTGAAACACCAAGGCTGTCTCACTGCTGACGGAGAAGCCTTCTTCCTGTGGACCCACTACCTGCAGGAGGATCAGTGATAGATAGATTTGGCTCATGGACTGAATGGACTGAATAAGGAAGTTCTCATGGACCAAGTTTTGCTACTGTTGTTATTCAATGTAACATAAAAATTTTAGCAATTTGGCACCTCGCTATATCATCTACAAGTGCAAGTATGAACTCCTCGGGCCACGTTCTGCTGCCACTGTTCTGGAAGCGAGGAGGATACGGGGCATATTAACTGGAGATTGTGAATTCTGCCCGGGACATCACCTTAAAAGGTGGGGAGGACATTTTTAGTCCTACCAAAATGGGAGGTCACGCCCCTACGCTCTAGGTCTTGAGATCTTAATGAAATTGCTGTGGCTTTTAAATGATAACAAAAAAGATAGAATGCACACGAGACATGGAAGCAGAAAACATTTTAAAATATCAACCTTGTTTACAACAACTTTACGTCCCAAGACTGAAACAGATAATTTTGCTTATGCAACATTGGAATGGTGTTCATAAATATTACAGAACATGAATAAAGTCTCACCTTCATCATCGTCATCTTCTCCACCCTCTCCGTCCCCTTCTACCTCGCCATCTGAGGAAGCTTCCCGGTCCTCTTCGTCGAAACCATCCAGGTAGGTGAGCTGCTTCAACTGCTTGAAGACACTTTCTTTGTAGTCGTTCAGGTTTGTGACTTCGCAATTAAACAGATCCAAACTTTTGAGGTTGGACAACTTTTTCTATCGGTTGAGAGAGAAACACATACAAGTTTTAGAGCATATTCTTGTGACGTGTGACATCTTTGTAGGATGGCCTGAAAACATACCAATGGTTCCAATGTGCTGATATCTTTTAATTTGTTGCCGCTCAAGTTTAGATGTGTGAGGTTGGGAAGTTTTTCTGCTAAAACATCGAGTCCACCACTGATTCTGTTATCGCTCAACTCCAACTGAAACAAAAGGTGTACCGATTTATTTCGGGCAAACAAATTCTTTGTGGGGTGAAGCTTGAGAAGTGACTCACCTTTTTGAGTTTTGTTAATTTTGGTAGGTTGGCAATAGAAATAAGACCAACATTTATCAAACTGAGGAATTCCAGGTTTACAAACTCAGCTGTGAGGCCTTCAATTTTCCCATCTGGTGACCGGCAGTTATCAAGAACAAGCTCTCTAACCTGAAAGCAAAAATAAGACTAATCAATACATTTTGACACATTCTATCCCCACTGTTTTATTATGTGCGCCGCAACAGTGACATTTCCCAGCTAAGGGACGTAAAGGTTCTCCGCTGTTATTTCTTGAACAACAAGTTTGTAAACAGTGGATTTAGACAAAGGGATTTTTGCTCAAATATAAAAAAATAAGAAAACATTTCGATCCAAAGAGGCAGTATAAATGACATAAATAAGTCTAATTGGATTAGTATAATATAGACATACATTTAATGCAATGTAAAACAACAACAATGAAGGCGGGGTTACTTTGTGCTTTCGCAATTTTTCGTTCCACAAAACGGCACTAAAGTTGTTGTAAAACGTTAAAGATGGTGTTTTGATGAGCATAAGACCTAAGAGTTGTTTAGATCTGCTCAAATACGGTGTGCCAATAGTCACTTATCGAGGCATTGATTTGTGCTAAGCTGGGCTTCTCCCATGGCTCTTCACTAATGACAAATGTATTGGTTTCAGAGCTAGCTTGCATGCTAACAGTTGCCCTCGGAGCCTCGGCAGCAGCTGTCCGCCATTAGTGACTCCACAGCAGCGGAAAGGACACGCTACACCCATAAGATGACACCTTCTTAAAACCTGGTTTCTGATGGCAAATGGAGTATTACTCGACGAAGAACTAACCCGCCTGTTTGGTACAGGGCACAAGATCGTTTTTGAGGTCGAAATGGCGAAGAAAACATGTGAGAACGGACATTTAGTGAAAACAAAGATGGAGACGGTTCCTTTCTCCAGAGCTCCAAAGACGACAGAGACAACATGGCGACTCCTCAGACACAGTATGCGGCTCTATGAACACTTCATTAGATTCATAGTTGTGTACTAGGATAATGCCTCTGTTTAGAAATGTTAGCTTTATAACTATTGTCGATCTTTTAGTTCATGTGCGGCTCTAAATGAAACACCGAGCGTCGAGTGACTGCTGCCCACGCAGGGAGCGCGGCGCCCGGCAGAGCAGCAGGCAGAGTACCGGGCTGCTGCAGGGACTCCGGGGAAAGCAGTGTTCCTGATGCTTTACCTGATGGCTTCTGGGTGCATACATAAGACAAATGCCCCAAGTAACATGTCCATTCTTTATATAGAATGGATTCACTTGCTTTGAGCTGAGGGGAGAGCCAGGTAATATGGCGGGAACAAAATGTCAACTTACGTGGCTTTTAAAATGTGAGTGGCTCCAGCAGATTATAATTTTATAGTACAAAGTTACTATTTTAAGTAAATATAACTATTACATTCAATTTGGAATTATCTGTACTTGTTTCGTAACCCCCAATCCCTTCAGATTGACGATGTAATGAATGTGACAGTGCAGTGCAAACATCTTGTTGGAGTCCCACATAATATAGTATGAGGTTTACCAGAGCATGGGTGACCCGTGAATACAGTGGCTGTTTCCCACTGTTTCCGCGGCTTCGGTGTGACTATTATGACTGAAATATTTGCCCAATTCCTGTGGGATATGGGGCTTATTTGTTGATTTATACACATGCAACTTTTATATTTAAGGGGCTTCTGCAATTTCAATATTTGCCATTAACGATGGTATTCTTGGAGCAGTACTGCTAGCAAACATGGCTCCCAGGGTCTGTATAAAATGTACCACGACTGCCAAACATCGCACATGAGGGAATTTTCTCAATATGTGCGTAAAACAAGTTTCTCTTCGTGTTAGAGCAGTTTAACAGAGCTACACCGTGTCTGCCCCTGTGTGGGTCTCCGTAATGGTTCAAAGGCAGCGTTAACGCCAAAGAGCAGCTTCAAAGTAACAATTCAATATAGCTTTTCTTGCCTGTGATGGCCACATACGCCCAGTGCTGAGCTGGATTTAACACCAAGTTAAAGTGAGCGCTTGCCACACGAATATAAAGGAAAAACACAACCTAAAGCCCATGTGGTCACCATTATCCCCCAGGTCACTCGCAAAAAGTAGCGAGGCTGCTAGCAGTGCTAGCCACAAAACTATGGGTTGGTATTAAAAAGCACGACTCACATCAGACGGAGACTTGTTTCGTAGCTCCAAGTGAATCCTCTTTTTCATGTCCATCGTGCCCCGAGAAAGTACTTTTCTAAGGTGGATTTGGTGGGATCTTCAGTCCAAAGGCAGAGATGCCCTAATGGAGGGAGAATATAGGGCTGTATAATGAACAGAGCCAAACGCTAAGTTAGTCGGAGAGAGGAGAACCATGGAGGGAAACGGGACTCAAACAAATGATATGCACAACAGCGCCATCTCCGGTCAGTGACGCCCATCTCCCGTAAGGCAATGCAGTGAGAACATGACGCTACCCAAAGAGCCCCCATTGCACGTTGAGAGCACTCTGTTGAAACGCATAACTCCAGTATCTGGTAAGTATGAGTCTAACACACGACAGTGTAATGAAAGCTGCGAAACCAACCAAAATGGAAGAATTCAGTCACTTAATGAACTTCTGTTTATCTTCTCATTCTAGTTTTGTAAGTTGAAACAACATGGGCAGAATATACTCGTGTTGTACGCCTTTTTTGTTTTAGTCTTATAAAATAAATAATAAAACTTGCTGTGTACAAGTTGGCTTTTCAAATGGTCTGCTGCAGTCTGCCCTGTCAAGGCAAAACACGAGTTTGTGCACGCTGTTCCATGCACTTCTGCTTTGTTTACTATGCATTAAACTTAATAAAGTGTTATACTATGTCTGTCTGTTGTCGTTTTTGATATTAATTCAAACCAACCAATCATTTTCAAACACATTCCCAAAAGGAGGGGTATGTTTGGTTTGCAGTAAAGGGAGCATTGTAGGCTGCATGTGAAGGTTGCCCCCACCCTTTTTAGTACTTCGAGATACCATAACTTTCTTACAATATTTATCATATATCGTACCATATATAGATGTATTTATGTATATAAGTCAAATCTACCTTAAGTCTAATCTAATCTAATCTTTCAAGTTATTGTAAGAGGACACTATCCCATTTGAACTCATCATTCACTTAAAATTATGAGGAGGGTTGTAATCAACTCATTTGCTTTATGTAATATTACGAGTTAAATCTACTGATCCCCTGCGCTTCCACAAATGTTCACTGTTGAGAAGAACATTAATATACACATGCAGTGTGGTCTTTACGCCACTAGGCGGCAGCAGAGTCGTATTTTGGACAAGGCTCATTTGTATTAAGTACACATGTAACCAAGAAATAGGAGCACTAGATTGGAATGTACTGCCAATACGAAAGTGGAGCAGAGACAGTAATAAATCAGGCCTAATGGTCTTTTTGGGACAGGAAGAACCATATAGTTTTATATACTTATAATCACTGTTCAAAAAGACCAACACTTGCCTCTTCTTTTGATCCTTTTCCTTGTTAAGGGTTGTTAAATTGACTTTGTTCCACTATTGTTAACAGTAATAGTATTATTACTGTGCGTTTTCCCATTTAGTGCATACATTTGCTTTGAAAGCTGGTATAGTACATAGACACAACAACTCAATGTGGTTCCAGAAGATTGAGAAAACACACCCCAGCTGAGCCACTGTCTGACCAGATAAGAAGGGTATGTCCAAACTAAGACAAGATTCCTCCACAGTACCAGTTCAAATGTTGTTACTGAAAAGCAGTTTAATTTTATTTAATAAGCTACAAAACATTTATTGTACTTTATTTTAGCAATCAAACAAAAATGGTTTTTAACATTACCAAATGGAGTCCATTCCAAAATGTGGTTTAATCATCTATTATTTCAATTATTGTATTCCCTGCATTGCAACTCAATTCTAAGCTGTAGTCAGTCATCCTGTGCCAACTCTTGCAGCTTTACAAATATGATAAGAGCAAAAGCGGCAAGAAGTCTCCCAGCACAGTGGTAATGGTTAACCAGATAATTCACTTCGGGGTGGGAATAGCAACAGAGTAACAGTTATTCTGACCAGTTTGCTACCAGCCCGCCTTCAATGGTTTGAATTCATTCATCACAGAACTCACGATGGAGGAGTATCTGCGACAAGAACCACAGCAGAAACCACCGCAAGAACAACAACTGGAACCAATGCAAGACACATTTGAAGGAGAACAGCAAGTGCAGCCTGGGCTGGAATATAACAACCAAAATGACCAAGGTATGGGTAACAAAGGCCTCTGATGCATAACACACACATAAACAGAAACACACACACATTTTTTTTTTTTACTTGTGTGTGTCCAGTAAATATATATATTTATATATATATATAATGCCAAATGCATTTGATTTAAAGGTGATTTCCGACGCCGGTTGCGTGACAGGGACCTTCTCAAGAAGAGAAAGGCCGAAGCTGAGGAGAAAGAGACTGATGAATGGGATTTTGGGTAAATTAGTACACTTTTGCAACATACCTTGCCTTTGTTCGCAGATTTTAATAAGAGCAGTATTTTAAATCCATTATACAAAAAAACATAGTTTTGAGTTGTTTGTTTGAAGTTCAATTTATATTTGTCCTTCGTTGATTCTTAATAGCAACTTATTTAGCGTGTGTCATTGTCTGGTGAAGCCATTATCTGTTTATCACCACTCTGGTTTATATTGAACATGAGGCAAGAGCAAAGCAAAGGTCACCATCGTGTCTGTGTTTATCCCTCGGTATGAGGTCAAAGATTATGCTCTTCTGCCAAGTATCGGACCAATTAAATTAATGCTATGTCTTGTGCTTGCAAATGTGTAGGACAGAGATTCCAAAAAAAAGAGGGAGGAGCGGGGCCAAGAGAGGCAGGAGAAGAGGGAGACCGCGGAAAACCGAACAAAGTATCATCACTGATGCACAGAATGAAAGTCTTGTGGATCAGGAAGCCACCGTAGCAGTGACAGAGGCTGTCCTCTCTCAAATACCAGTCCCTTTGGAAGCCCAACTTCCTGAAGCTACTATGGCTGCACCTGCCTTTGAAGAATGTAATAATCCAACACCTCAAGCTCCTGCTGCTGACTTAGAACCTGCTGTTGACTTGCCTCCCATTCCCATCCAAGATGTGGCCCCACCCTCAGCTTCTGCTGCCCGACAACTGCCCCTAGACGGTGCGTACACAGAGCCGCAGAGTGAGCCTGGACAAGCACAAGTCGTGATCGAAGATGTTGGTCCTGATCCTGATGAGGAAGACTTCTGTCCATCACAGGATAAACAAACTGATGGTTAATCTTAAACTTAAGAAACAATAATTAAATAACATTGTATTATGCAACCTGTGATTCAATATATTTTATATGATGTCGTTTAGGTTGCAGTGGACCAGGGACGCCAGAAGCCATTTTTCTCTCAAACCCTGCATTTTCAACCCCAGCTCCACTACAGGATTATTTGCAAAGAAATGCATATTAATTTTTTTTTCTTTTTGAAAGTTACTTTTGTAAAGAACGTCTTAACTGCACCAATGCTAGTTAAATTAAGTTAAACACCAGTCAGATTCACTCTGATGGTGATGACTGCTTTGCTTATTTAAATATGAATGTTTTAAAAACCTTTAGGTTTTTCCCCTAGGTTTGTACATTGTTCTTTGTTTTTGTTTCATTGATAATGATTGATGTTGTAACTGGGAGTTGAATAGTTGCATTTGAGAAAAAATAAATAAAGATGAAAAGATGCTTACTAAAAACCATCTTTATAATCATGGTATATCATTCTGCATTTTAAAATCTAATGTCAAAACTACTCATTTGCTGTGCACAAGATAATAAAAAAATATTTTACTGTCTGAGATATATATTATAAAAATGCATGGCTCACGATATGTTGACTTAATAAATAATAATTTGCTATATTAAAATGATGTTATGTGACATTTAGCGGTAGCTTATATTTAGATGTGGACTTGTATCAGAGTAATCAATAGAAGTGACAGCAAAATGTGATTCAAATAAATCATGCAGAAGTATCATTTCACACACGCCCGGTATAACACCGCGGTAAAGTGGGCCGCATCTTTCACCTCCGAAGTAAAACGGCCCGCGTCGAGAGAAAAACAGTGCGCGTTTTGTTGACTATTTACGGTAATAGCGGAACAGCCTTTCGGAGTCACCTTTTCTCCTCGAACAGAAAGCGCGCTGAGGAGACTCGTTTTTGTGAATAAACCCATATTTGGAAAGCATTTAATTTGGTCAAATTTTCAGCAGCTGTCCATTTTTACAGTAAAGACTTGTGTGGCTTATTCCACTGGGTTCATGACCTCGATATAGCTGCCTTCAACGCTGTGCCTACGACCACACACCTTTACTGTGGAAATGTTGGGTAAAATTGAGACAAAGTACACTTTAGTGCAAAATACACAAAACTGTAAAAACATTCCCGCTTTTGATCTACTGTAACTATTTACTGTAAAAAGGTGTGTGACTCTTTCCAATGGATTTATGTCCTCATTATTATGTTCTACCACTGTGCCAAGACCAGAAACTTTTACTGTGGACATTTAGAGAAATATGGAGTTAAAGTAGCCATTTTGGTTCAAAGTAGCCAAAAAAATGGTCAAAACATGTCATTTTTGATCTACTGTAACTTTTTACTGTAAAAAGGTGTGCGACTAATTTCACTGGATTCATGACCTCATGATTGCCCTCTACCACTGTACCAAAGACCAGTATATTTTACTGTAGAAATATTGAGAAATATCGATTTAAAGTAGCCATTTTGGTCCAAAATAGCCTAAAAATAGTCAAAACATGTCACTTTTGATCTACTGTAACTTTTTACTGTAAAAAGGTGTGCGACTAATTTCACTGGATTCATGACCTCATGATTGCCCTCTACCACTGTACCAAAGACCAGAAACTTTTACTGTAGAAATATTGAGAAATATTGATTTAAAGTAGCCATTTTGGTCCAAAATACCTCCAAAATAGTCAAAACATGTCACATTTGATCTACTGTAACTTTTTACTGGAAAAAGGTGTGCGACTAATTTCACTGGATTCATGACCTCATGATTGCCCTCTACCACTGTACCAAAGACCAGAAACTTTTACTGTAGAAATATTGAGAAATATTGATTTAAACTAGCCATTTTGGTCCAAAATAGCCTAAAAATGGTCAAAACATGTCACTTTGGATCTACTGTAACTTCTTACTGTAAAAAGGTGTGCGACTAATTTCACTGGATTCATGACTTCATTATTGTCCTCTACCAGAGCTGTATTTGCATTGCCGGCAGGTGCAGGCTGCCCTTTCTCACCGCTTCCGTTTACTGTCATAATGGACAGAATTTGTAGGTGCAGCCAGGGGACGGAGGGGGTCCGGTTCGGAGACCACAGGATTTCATCTCTGCTGTTTGCCGACGATGTTGTCCTGTTGGCTCCAACGAACCAGGACCTGCAACATGCACTGTGACGGTTGCAGACAAGTGTGAAGCGGCTGGGATGAGAATCAGCACCTTCAAATCCGAGGCCATGATGCCTGACCGGAAAAAGGTGCCTTGCCCTCTCGAGTAATGAGTAATGATTAATGAGAAATGATTATTTATATAGCGCATTTATATATATAAAAAAAAATTATATAGCGGAAAAAAAAGCATTTGCGCATGCGTCAGCCGGCGCAAGCTCCATTCATTTGAACGAGAAATGAAAAAAATTCACAGCGAGTATAGTAGAGTGGTCCAAAAAAATTCACCCCCCTCATCATTGACACACATGTGGAACGGAGCTTTGGGCCAAGAGCCAACTTTTGGACCATCCTTTTCGAGAGGTCTGCCAATGCTATACGTTAGCATTGGCTAATTCTTAATCCGGGTCCACCCCCATCGGCCCGGGGTGGTATTGCAAACATGTCAGCGCATCATTTTGGCCACTTTCGAGCCGGGACCCGCCCCCACTGATCAGCCCCCAATCTTCATTATCCATTAATACCTATTGAGCATGTTTTTAGTGCCAGGGGAAACCGGAGCACCCAGAGGAAACCTATGCAGACACGGGGAACATGCAAACTCCACTCAGTAAGGCACTGTTCCGACTGGGATTCGAACCCAGGACCTTCTTGCTGAGAAGCGAGAGTGCTATCCACTCAGCCACCGTGCCGCCAAAGTGGAGAGGTCCTTCCTCACGTGGAGGAGTTAAAGTATCTCGGGGTCTTGTTCACGAGTGACGGAAGGATGTAGCGTGAGATTAACAGGTGGATTGGTGCAGCGTGCGCAGTGATGCGGCCACTTTCGATTTACCGGTCAATTCTTGTTCCCTCCATCATCTCTGGTCATGAGCTTTGGATAATGACCGAAAGAACGAGATTGTAGATACAAGCGGTGGGAAAGACTGGTTGGGCACTCCCTTAAGGTGTTTTCACCCCGGACTCAACTTAGACTTGAAAAGCATCAGTTTTGCACTGAAAATGAATAGTGAAGCGCGTCAGGTGACGCTGAGAGGCCCGGCTTCACTTGAAGCGCTTCAAAAGACGCAAGCATTATGCGCGTCACTTGAAGCTTTTGACACGCGTAATGCTTGCGTCTCTTTTGTCGTAAAAAAGTCCCTTAACGCCGAAGTTGAGAAAAGCTTTTGGAGCTTGACGCCGGGCTTCAACCAATCTGGAGACGAGGAGCAGCAGCAGCAGCAGGGCTTTCATGTAGCTGCTACTGATTTTTCATTGTCATTATTGTTATTTGTAATATTATTTGTATAAATAGTAACGTTCTTAAAAAGTAAGTAACACAATCAATGTACATATGCTGTGAAGTTAAAGTTATTTATTTAGTATAAGAACAAGCTAAAGCTGGCTCAGACACAGCAGACTGAAAGACAGGCGCTCCTCCGTGGGAATCAGTGCGAGCTCCAGGCGGGAGCGAGAGAAGCTCCTCCCACCCGGCGTCAGGAGCTTCAAGCACCAAGGGGCGTTCACACCGGACCCAGCGTGAAATATTGCGCGTCAAAAGCGTTTTGAAGCTATTGGTCTGAAATCAGAATCAGAATCAGAATCATTTTTATTGCCAACGTAAGTAACGGGAGGTCACAGACTTGGAAATTGCTTTGGCTCAGTGCAACAGTCAAAAAGAGATAATAAAAATAAGAATAAAAAACACTTCTAAAGAATAAATTTAAATTTAAAATAGAGTTACAGTTACTATTTACAATATACAAGTGCACATGGTGCACACAATGTAAGGTGACAGCAGTACAGTGAAGTAAAGTGACGTATGATGGGCAGTAAAGTGACTTTATAAAGGGCGGGGGGACAGGTTAAGAAGTGTTCAAGAGTCCAACAGCAGAGGGGAAGAAACTGTTCTTGTGGCGGGAGGTTCTAGTCCTGATGGACCGCAGCCTCCTGCCTGAGGGGAGTGGTTGGAATAGTCCATGTGCAGGGTGAGAGGGGTCGGCTGTGATACGACCAGCCCGGCCTCGAGCTCGGGCGACGTACAGGTCCTGCAGCGATGGAAGGCTGCGGCCGATCACTTCCTCTGCAGAGCGCACAATGCGCTGTAGTCTCTGTTTGTCCCTGACTGTGGCTCCAGCGAACCACACGGTGATGGAGGAGGTGAGGATGGACTCGATGATGGCCGTGTAGAACTGCACCAACATCTGTGCAGGCAGCTTGGCTTTCCTGAGCTGCCGCAGGAAGTACATCCTCTGCTGGGCCTTCTTGATGAGGGAGCTGATGGTCGGCTCCCACTTGAGGTCCTGGGTGATGGTGGTGCCCAGGAAACGGAAGGACTCCACAGAGGTGATGGGGGAGTCCATCACGGAGGGTGGGGGGGGGGGGACAGTGCTCTTCCTGAAGTCCACAATCATCTCCACTGTCTTCTGGGCGTTCAGCTCCAGGTTGTTACCACTGCACCAGGACACCAGCCGGTCCACCTCCCTCCTGTAGGCGGACTCATCGTTGTTGGAGATGAGTCCAATGAGGGTGGTGTCGTCCGCGAACTTGATCAGCTTCACGGAGTCGTGGCTGGAGGTGCAGTGGTTGGTGTACAGGGAGAAGAGCAGGGGAGAAAGAACACAGCCCTGTGGGGCTCCTGTATTTATAATCCGAGAGTCCGAGACATTCTTCCCCAGACGCACTCGCTGCTTCCTGTCCGTCAGGAAGTCAGTGATCCACCTGCAGGTGGAATCGGGCACGTTGAGCTGGGAGAGCTTGTCCTGGAGCAGGGATGGCAGGATTGTGTTGAAGGCAGAGCTGAAGTCCACGAACAGGACCCTGGCGTAGGTCCCCGGGGAGTCCAGGTGCTGTAGGATGTGGTGGAGGGCCAGGTTAATGGCGTCGTCTACAGATCTGTTGGCTCTGTAGGCGAACTGCAGGGGGTCCAGGAGGGGGGAGGTGAGGGACTTGAGATGGGAGAGAACCAGGCGTTCAAATGACTTCATGACGACAGACGTAAGTGCTACAGGTCTGTAGTCATTGAGTCCTGTGATCCTGGGCTTCTTCGGGACGGGGACAATGATGGAGGATTTGAAGCAGGCCGGGACATGGCAGGACTGCAGAGAGGAGTTGAAAATGTCCGTGAACACAGGAGTAAGCTCACTGGCGCAGTGTCTCAGAGTGGCCGGAGACACGTGGTCCGGGCCAGGAGCTTTGCGGGGGTGCAGCCTCAGGAAGAGTTGTTTAATCTCTTTAGCGGCTATTGTTAGGCTGGGGGCAGGGCTGATGGGTGGGTCGTTAGAGTAGTGGGGGGTGGGGGAGGGAGAGGTGTCAGGGGCAGCATCAAAGCGACTGAAAAATAAGTTCAGATCGTCAGCTAGCTTGTGGTCATCAGCACAGGGGGGGGCTTTGGGTTTGTAGTTGGTGATCTCCCGTAGGCCCCTCCAGACAGAAGCAGTATCGTTGTTACCAAACTGCTCCTGTAGTCGTTCTCTGTGCCGGGACTTGGCTGCTTTCAGTTCTTTCCTGAACTGATATTTAGCTGCTTTGTAGCCGCTGCGGTCCCCCTCCCTGAAAGCAGACTCCTTTGCTTTCCTGAGCTGCCGGAGTTTAGCAGTGAACCAGGGTTTGTCGTTGTTATAGATGACCCTGGTCCTTGTTGGAATGATGCTATCCTCACAGAAGTGGATGTATGACGTCACAGTGTCCGTATATTCATCCAAGCTGTCTGTGGCAGCTCTGAAAAGGTCCCAGTCTGTAGATTCCATGCATGCGCGTAGCTCTTCCACAGCTTCATCAGACCACACTTTGGAGCTCCTCACTGCAGGTTTCGAGAGCTTTAGTCTCTGTCTGTAAGCAGGAACCAGATGTATCATGGAGTGATCTGAGAAGCCGAGGGCTGGCTTGGGAACAGCGCGAAAAGCTCCGCGCACGGTGGTGTAACAGTGATCCAGAGTGTTCTCCTCTCTGGTCGGGCATTTGATAAACTGTCTGTATTTGGGTAATTCCTGGCTCAAGTTTCCCTTATTAAAATCCCCCAGGATAATAATCAGAGAGTCCGGGTATAAGCGTTCCATACACAGTACTTGCTCTGCGAGTGCGCGCTGAGCCTCGCGCGCGTCCGCGCATGGCGGTATGTAAACAGAGGCAAGAATGAATGAAACAATTTCCCGCGGGGAGTAATATGGTTTACAATGAATGAAAAGATATTCCAGAGCAGGAGAGCAGTGCTTGGAGATCACTGTCACATCGTTACACCAGTTTGTATTGACGTAGAAACAGAGCCCTCCGCCTCTGCTCTTCCCTGAGAGCGCACAATGGCGATCCGCGCGAAACAGCCCAAAGCCCTGCAGCTCCAGAGCGCAGTCCGGGATCCGCTCATTTAGCCAGGTCTCAGTGAAGCAGAGGACACAGGATGTGGCGAAGTCCTTGTTTCTTCTCATGAGCAGGCTGAGTTCGTCCATCTTATTGCCCAGTGAGCGTACGTTGGAGAGAAAAATGCCGGGGAGAGCCGTGCGCGCTCCTCTCCTCCTAAGACGCACGAGCAGGCCTCCTCGCTTTCCCCTTTTACGGGCCCACACTTTTTTGGCTAGAACATGAACTAAATCAGCCGCAGATGCCAAGAAAACAGGCAATAGGTCCATGGGAACGGTGGGTCGGATGTTCATAAGTTCCTCACGGGTGTAGGAACAGCCAGATGCACAGTTAAAAAGTAAAAACAAAAGAAAAAGAGAGCAGCAAAGAGCCATGTCGACCGTACGAGGCGCCATCTTGAATCCACCTTTAGAGATAGGTTGAGGAGCTCAGTCACACGGAAGGAGCTCGGAGCAGAGCCTCCGCTTGTCGACTTGTCGAACCTCCGCTTGTCGACAAAAGGGGCCGTAGCCCCTTTTGTGTATTTTTTACCAAGGGGGTACTTTGACTAATTATTTCTCAAAATTTCCACAATAAAAGTTACAGTAGACCAAAAGTGACATGTTTTGACCATTTTTAGGCAATTTTGGACCAAAATGGCTACTTTAAATCAATATTTCTCAATATTTATACAGTAAATGTTTCTGGTCTTTGGTACAGTGGTAGAGAGCAATCATGAGGGCATGAATCCAGTGAAATTAGTCGCACACCTTTTTACAGTAAAAAGTTACAGTAGATCAAATGTGACATGTTTTGACTATTTTGGAGGTATTTTGGACCAAAATGGCCATTTTAAATCAATATTTCTCAATATTTCTACAGTAAATGTTTCTGGTCTTTGGTACAGTGGTAGAGAGCAATCATGAGGGCATGAATCCAGTGAAATTAGTCGCACACCTTTTTACAGTAAAAAGTTACAGTAGATCAAAAGTGACATGTTTTGACTATTTTGGAGGTATTTTGGACCAAAATGGCTACTTTGAATCAATATTTCTCAATATTTCTACAGTAAAAGTTTCTGGTCTTTGGTACAGTGGTAGAGGGCAATCATGAGGTCATGAATCCAGTGAAATTAGTCGCACACCTGTTTACAGTAAAAAGTTACAGTAGATCAAAAGTGACATGTTTTGACCATTTTTAGGCTATTTTGGACCAAAATGGCTACTTTAAATCAATATTTCTCAATATTTCTACAGTAAATGTTTCTTGTCTTTGGTACAGTGGTAGAGGGCAATCATGAGGTCATGAATCCAGTGAAATTAGTCGCACACCTTTTTACAGTAAGAAGTTACAGTAGATCAAAAGTGACATGTTTTGACTATTTTGGAGGTATTTTGGACCAAAATGGCTACTTTAAATCAATATTTCTCAATATTTCTACAGTAAAAGTTTCTGGTCTTTGGTACAGTGGTAGAGGGCAATCATGAGGTCATGAATCCAGTGAAATTAGTCGCACACCCTTTTACAGTAAAAAGTTACAGTAGATCAAATGTGACATGTTTTGACTATTTTGGAGGTATTTTGGACCAAAATGGCCATTTTAAATCAATATTTCTCAATATTTCTACAGTAAATGTTTCTTGTCTTTGGTACAGTGGTAGAGGGCAATCATGAGGTCATGAATCCAGTGAAATTAGTCGCACACCTTTTTACAGTAAAAAGTTACAGTAGATCAAATGTGACATGTTTTGACCATTTTTAGGCTATTTTGGACCAAAATGGGTACTTTAAATAAATATTTCTCAATATTTCTACAGTAAATGTTTCTTGTCTTTGGTACAGTGGTAGAGGGCAATCATGAGGTCATGAATCCAGTGAAATTAGTCGCACACCTTTTTACAGTACGAAGTTACAGTAGATCAAAAGTGACATGTTTTGACTATTTTGGAGGTATTTTGGACCAAAATGGCTACTTTAAATCAATATTTCTACAGTAAAAGTTTCTGGTCTTTGGTACAGTAGTAGAGGGCAATCATGAGGTCATGAATCCAGTGAAATTAGTCGCACACCTTTTTACAGTAAAAAGTTACAGTAGATCAAAAGTGACATGTTTTGACCATTTTTTAGGCTATTTTGGACCCAAATGGCTACTTTAAGTCAATATTTCTCAATATTTCTACAGTAAATGTTTCTTGTCTTTGGTACAGTGGTAGAGGGCAATCATGAGGTCATGAATCCAGTGAAATTAGTCGCACACCTTTTTACAGTAAGAAGTTACAGTAGATCAAAAGTGACATGTTTTGACTATTTTGGAGGTATTTTGGACCAAAATGGCTACTTTAAATCAATATTTCTCAATATTTCTACAGTAAAAGTTTCTGGTCTTTGGTACAGTGGTAGAGGGCAATCATGAGGTCATGAATCCAGTGAAATTAGTCGCACACCTTTTTACAGTAAAAAGTTACAGTAGATCAAATGTGACATGTTTTGACCATTTTTAGGCTATTTTGGACCAAAATGGCTACTTTAAATAAATATTTCTCAATATTTCTACAGTAAATGTTTCTTGTCTTTGGTACAGTGGTAGAAGGCAATCATGAGGTCATGAATCCAGTGAAATTAGTCGCACACCCTTTTACAGTAAAAAGTTACAGTAGATCAAAAGTGACATGTTTTGACCATTTTTTAGGCTATTTTTGGACCCAAATGGCTACTTTAACTCCATATTTCTCCCAAATTTCTACAGTAAAAGTTTCTGGTCTTTGGTACAGTGGTAGAGGGCAATAATAAGGTCATGAGTCAAGGTGAAATTAGTCGCACACCTTATTCCACTAAATAGTTACAATACTTGAAAATTGCACTAGCGGACCAAATTGTGTACTTTATATATGTAAACAATAGAGTGGCTATCCTCCTGAGGACTCACAATCTGCAGGAGGAATCGTAGGGGGCTGGTGCTATGTGTGCCGGGTGGCATCTCTATAAGGTTTTAATCACAAAAATGTGTCTCCCAGACCCCAGCGCGCTTTCTGTTCGATAAAAATGGGTGGACGCGAATGGATGTGCCGCGGTTACCGTAAGTTCGCAATGTAACCCGCACCGTATTTTCCCCGTGTGCGGCCGCTTGTTCGCCATGAGTAGCTGGGATAAGATCGGGCCACTTTACCGGCGGAAGATTAAACGCCATATAGAAATTACTGAGTGTTTTTCATGTTTTACAGTGGCGCAGGTAAACTTTGGCCTTCCAGAGTCATGACAATAACTTGAGACGTGGAAGGTTGAGAAATCGAGCAAAGGCAGAAATGTTGTAAGGTTATATTACTATACTATACAGAAGTTCCCACAACTGGACGGCACTACAGCGGGGGAGGGGGGGGGGGGGGGGGGGGGGGGGGGGGGGGGGGGGGGGGCGGGGGGGGGGGGGGGGGGGGGGGGGCGGGGGGGGGGGGGGGGGGGGGGGGGGGGGGGGGGGGGGGGGGGGGGGGGGGGGGGGGGGGGGGGGGGGGGGGGGGGGGGGGGGGGGGGGGGGGGGGGGGGGGGGGGGGGGGGGGGGGGGGGGGGGGGGGGGGCGGGGGGGGGGGGGGGGGGGCGGGGGCGAGCAGGTGGGTGTGGCAGATGTGGGGGGGGGGGGGGGGGGGGGGGGGGGGGGGGGGGGGCGGGGGGTGGGGGGGTGTGGGGGCAAAACAATGGAAGAGGGAAGAGGGTAGAAGCTGGGAAGGGAGGGGGGGCGGTGGGGGGGGGGGTAGTGAGAGGGTGAGGGTGGGGGGGGGGGGGGGAGGGTGGGGGGGGGGTGGAATAGGTTTTGGGGACTGAGCCACTGAGGGGTGGTTCATATAGAAGGGTGGGTGCCAAAGCGTGCCGGAGGGGCCGGGTAAAACTTGGGGACTTGTGTACAGAGATGAGGAGAACCCCACCTCATCTAGACTTCAGACAGAAGGTGAGAAGACAGATCTAAAGCTTTGTCAAACAGATACCAACGGAGTGAGTTGGCGATGCAGAAGATTAACACGCCGTGCTAAAGAAAACCTGATCACCTGTCCCTCAAAACAAACGCGCTGAATAATGCTCGGATAGCACTTGTGGGTGCAGGGGCGTAGCGGTTCTTATAAGTGGTGTCAGCGGTAAGGCTAACTCAGTACTAATCTGGTGGTTTAGCGAGTATCGGGGAAATGGTGTTGCTTTGAGTCTGAAGCGTATAGGACATTGTACTTAGTATGGAGGAAGGAGAGCGGGGTCGCGAGACCGAGGCCTCGAGGCAACGGAAAAGTGATTAAATAGATAATATAGAGTTCGATGGTGGGCTTAAAACAATGTGTGCACCAAAATACGAAGCTGCAGTTGCGTCGGTAAAATAGAAGCTGTGTCATACTAAAAGCTAATAACTCGCTAGCTGTACGCCAGGAAAAACGCATCGTTGCCCACCATTCCACCCTTAATACACACTACGTTCAAAAACCGCGGAAAGAAACACATAACAGCCACGAGTCCAGAGGGGTCCGGGTGGCATGAAGCATTAATATTGAAATTAGGAAGTGTTATAGATAAGGAATAAGTATTAAATGAGCTCCAACTGGTAGTTAAAGCTAAAGTTTTTGAGATAAAATTGTTTGCAGTGCTTGGGTATAGTTGTGCTGGCAGAATTTGAGCAAAGAATGTAAACCAGGTCCGAGCACGTGACAACCGTGGGGGGCCATTGGTAATTGAATTATTACAAGTTAATGGCTCGCTAAAAGGTGGCCCCGGATTTGTGTCCAATTTTGCGGTTGGGGGAATTATCTTACAGTATTCTCATTCTGCTGTGGTAATTGGTATGCACCAAACACAGCAGCGTGCCATCAAAGGATCGCGTCCTCCGAGGAGGTCATGTGACAGGCATTGGGTCTGGGGGAACGATGTTGAAACTGATTTTGGTACGCTGTAAGCGCACGGTATACTTCAGCCAGGGTCCCATCTGGGCAAAGGGTGTTTTACTGCGCCAGCTGCAGAACATGTGCATCTAATGTGACTAGAAGGGCGTGATATGCAAAGACCCCTTCGCACCTTACGCTGTTCCTCCACACGTGGGGACGAGATGATCGCAGGACATTAAAGAGCTAAACGGGCCAAACGACTATATACGCGGATGTGACGACAACGGCCGGCAGCCGCGTGCGGTTTGCGCAGCTGAACCGCTCGCTACTTCCTACGCATAGATCCCACGCTGATACCATGGAGCGTGACATACTGTAGCGGCTTGTGTTGGGTCTGTGGACCTATCCACAACGTCGGATCTGTACACAAGGGACCAACATCAGAACTAACATGGAGTCACACTAGGGCATCTAGGTCTCAGGAGAAGCTACCGCGGCGAAGCAACCCCGACAGACACCAGTCAAGGGGAGGAGCCGTGATGCGGAATGAAAGGAAGAACCGCTGGTGTCGGCCTGCCAGTCGTATGGCTAAACGCGGGATTGTGACCCACTTTATCGGAAGCAGACCCTGTGGGTCTTGTGTGGTGGGAAGTTTAAAGGGACACGTAGATTACTGTTGGGTCTGAGGGATGTGGTGGTCTAACGGAGAAAATATACAAATGGAGCACGATATAGTGGGCCCAGTAGGTGTGGTTGTACACTGTACGTAGTCAGAGGTACCTAAACAGACTACAATTTTCTTGCGGAAATTTTGAGAGGGAAATACCGCATGAATGGGAAGGGTCCCTCCAGGCATAGAAACAGAAATAAAACATAAGGGTCAGGACGCATGAGGGATGAGTCGTCCAAACTAGTTGAAAAGATGGATAAATGAAGGAATGTGATAGTATATCTAGCAATCTATTTCTGGGTTCAAAGTGAGTTAATAAAAAGAGACTGTGGGCGGTTAAAACAAATGATGACGGAGGATAAGCAGAGCTTTAGCGTAACATACAAGACATTCGTTGATTACAGTCCTATAATTGAAGTGTAGCGTCATAATCATGGAGTTTAATATGACATACAAACAATATACAGTTTAGGTTGAATAATGTGGTCCATTTGCGATTTGGGTTTGCCAAGGCAACAGGTTGACAGTGCAAACAAGAGCCCATCGGTAAACAACTTTACATCTCTTCAGTCGGTTGTGTGTCTAAACAGAGAGCGGGCCTGAGCTTGTGTGTAAAGCTCAAACTCCTAACTATCGACCTCCGCATCCCGAGTGTTGGCGTTGGAACAAGGGAATTACAACGAAATCGGGCAACTCGTGAAGACAGGACGGACATTTTGTGCTATTGTAAGGCAAAGTGTCATCCATGACTGCTCCAAGTGGTTACATCAGGGTCCTGTTCTTCTCTGCGATAAATGGGATGCCTAGAAAGCCCTCCAGCTGCGCGCCAAGGCCAGGGCCGAGCTGCGCCAAAATAAAATTCCTGAAGTTGTCTTCAACAACCCTGAACCAACGCTTGGGTGACTAAGGCTAACGAAC